ATTAACAAGCATGAAGTCTTGATTGATAAACAAGCATGAAGTCTTGATTGATAAACAAGCATGAAGTCTTGATTGATTAACAAGCATGAAGTCTTAATTGATAAACAAACATGAAGTCTTAATTGATAAACAAGCATGAAGTCTTGATTGATTAACAAGCATGAAGTCTTGATTGATTAACAAGCATGAAGTCTTGATTGATAAACAAGCATGAAGTCTTAATTGATTAACAAGCATGAAGTCTTGATTGATAAATAAGTACAAAGTCTTGATTGATGAACAAGCACGGAGTCTTGATTGATGAACGGGCCTGCTGTAGCGCTGTCCCAGTTTCCCTGTCCTCCTCTCGAACCCGGAGCTCCTGGAAAAATAAGGTTATGCGCTGTACTGGTTATCTTCACATCTTCCTGTTTTTTTCATTCAACTTTTATTGCGTTGTGTGACATATTACAGTCATATAGCAGATTGCTTGTGCGTACAACGACAGTTCTCCGGGTTGCTCGAAGCTGAACTAGTAGAGCTGTCACAAGCTGGGTGACTGTCCCGTCCTATCCACGGTGACTCGGCACTCACAGCATGACGGGGCAGTTTGTCCCCGAGTGTGAGGATGAGCCCCCTGCTCTCCCTCCTCAACTCGCTGCCAGCTCTGCTCCACTGACGTCTCTGTGCTCCGGACTCTGCTCGGCCTCTCAGTGGGTCAGGTCATGCGACTGTGACGCTCGTTATTTAAACCTCCTAGACTGCGATCAGTAAAACACATGCTTTGTCTCCAGGGTTGGTACTGAGGGGTGCTGCTGAACTTGGCGAACACTATTTTCTTTTTCCACTTTCCAAACAAACTTGTCCTGCTTTTAAGTGAACCTTGCAATTTAAACCTCACTCTGTAGCTTGTGCATATCGGTCTCAATCACGAGAACTCTTTATGTTTTTTTTCTCATGAGAGATTGTTGTTGTTAAAATTGTCAGTTGCTCATGCTTGTCTTGTTGAACCATTAGCACCTACAGGAGCAGTCCACAGTCCTCACAATGTCCACTGTCCCCTCTCCACACACACTTCCCTGTCTTACACACTGTCCACTGTCCCCTGTCCTCACACACTCCACTGTCCACACACAATCTCTTGTTTGTACACAGTCCTTTGTCCACTCACATTCCACTGTCCACTGTCCCCTGTCTACTCACATTCCACTGTCCACACACAGTTCAGGTGAGAGTAAACAGGAGCACCTGAAGAAAACCAACGCAAACATGCCAGGAACATACACACTCCACACAGAAGGCAGTTACTGATCCCAGGTCCCCACGGCTGGGAGACACCAGTACGCACTGCTGGGTTTAAATTACAGGAATTATTTGGCGTGAACCTCCAGTGCACGTTCAGGAGGCGAGAGAAACAAAAGCTGGGCCGCAGGCGAGGTGAAACCGGCATGGTCTCCCCGCGGATCGGAGCGGGTCGGGCGTGTGGAGGCCTGGAAGGACGTACCTGAGCTGGGGTAGTGGCCGGAGACGATCCTGAGTTTTGCATTCTGCCAGTCGGCGTCCCGGAGCGCTGCTCCGTGGCGCGGGCCGACACACTCCCATCGCGCAGCTGGGCTCTTCAGGGGACAGGGCCTGTGTGCAGTTAGCTCCACGCCGCGTTCACGGCCAATTTTTATACCCTGTTCTTCACTGCGAGATAAGCCAGCGGCTGATAAATGCTCTTTATCTGGAAAAAGAAAGAGCTGTGATAAAATGGGAGCTGTTTCGAAGGCGCCCCCCCCCTCCAGCCCTGGAGGACGGGGTCCTGACAGCCCAGGCAGGGACCTGCCCCTCGTTCACCCAGAGCACTTCCATGGCCAGCGGGTAAAACACGAAGCATCACGAGGGAGCAACACCGCCCCGAGTGCTCGGACCTGCCTGCTTGTGTCCGTGAGTGCTGGACCCAGGCCCTGATCTCACACCTACCTGTGAGGACCCAGCCGGCGTCGCTGACTTGTCTGGTGAACGGTAGAGTGGCAAACGAGTATTTGGTTAAATGTAGTGAATTTAGAATCACAACCTATTTATTTGGGATTTTTTGCCCTGGATTGGCGGAAAACACTCTATGATGTCTAAGTGAACACAAAATTCTACAGACCTCCTAAATTAATTATAAATAGCGAGCAGAAAATAAGTGATGATTTAATGCTAAATGCATTATGATTCTGCATTGTATCCCGGGGGGGGGGGTGAATACTTTTGATAGGTACTGTAGCATTCCCATGCCTCTGAGTGTAGGGCACAGCAACACGCAGTTTGCCACCAAGCCTGGACAGCTTCAGGGACCTCTGTCGTCCTCCCCTCCCTGTGAGCTGTTTTAACTCACTTTTGGATTTTTTTCCCATTTCTTCCGCCTGGGTTTTGGTTCAGCTCCTCCGTGCTGCAACGCGTTCTCGTCCGATAACGAGCCCCTCTTGTCCTGACCGGCGACCGAGCGCCGAATCTCTCTCGCCGAACCCCCCCCAACCCGGCTGACAAACCACAGTGCTGCCCCCTGTGGGGCGGAGCCAGTAGTGCGGCACCCTTGAGAAATTCCCAATCACGCCTGGCCGGTCAGCGCACGCAGGCCCGAGCTCGGGAGATAGCAGGCCCTGCATTCAGCAAGTGTCAGACCTTCTGTATGGTCCTCCTGGGGCACTGAGCCGAGATGCTGTTCATCTCTCCTGGGCCCAGATCCCTTCCCTGATCACCTGCAGGGCTTGCAGCTGTGGCTGGGTGGATCGAGCGATCGAAAGGTAGTGGTCAGCTGTGCTGCCAAACAACTGGACAAGCGCGGCGTGGTCATTCAGCAAGTCATTTTTGCTTTGCTTGATAACTGGATTCAAAGACCTGTCTTCAATCAAAAAATGCACTCAGCTCGCAGAGCAGGCTCTGCAAGCAAATCAGGACCACAGGGCTTTGACAGAGAGGGAGGTTTGTGTGTCTTTAATAGCCTGATTTAGGACAGAATGTAGGAGGCGATAATTTACACCAAGAGTTGTGGGTGGCTGGAACAGTCTGCCCAAATCACAGTGCAGCTGAATTTCTGTGATCCCCTCAAAACCGAAGCTCAGTGAGGCCTGTGGATCATTAAGACGCCGAGCCCCCCAACGAGCCGGGTTTGGCCAGACAGGCTCTCCTGCGTGACTGTGTGCTTTATGGTCATGTCATCCCAGCCTGGCGCTGTCGTGGGCAGTGCAGTCCGGAGCCGGGCGAGGGCGAGGGCGAGGAGGGCGAGGTGATTGAGGGCGCTCCTGCAGGGGACAGCCGCGGTACGTGTGCGGAGCGGAGCCTGCAGCTCGACTCCGGTGACAGACGGAGAGATGTGGGGGCCTGATCTGAGGCCGTGGTCTGTAATCTCCCTTCCTGAGGGCTGAGCGGGGCTCAGTATCATCTGATCCAGGTTTCATCACACGGCCGCACTGCGACAGGGCGGGAGATGCAGCCGCCCAGATAACAGCTCCCGCAGCGCGGAGCCGGCCGGGCGCTGGCGGGGCACTTTCTCCGGGGCCTGACTTATCTGCGCGTGCTGGTTTTCCTGGGGCGTGCAACTCAAAACATGTTCCGACCGGCGTGCGCGGGCGGGCGCGCTGGCATGTCCTGGTCGTGGCGTGCGCACGCGCTGGTGTCTTTCTGCTTGCGCCCGTCCGTTGTGAAAGCTGCCCGTGGTGTAACACGCGGGTGGTGAAGTACAGTGCTCTCACGGGGGAGTGTGCTCAGGCCCCAGGGGCTCGGGAAGGCAGGGCTGCAGAGGGTGCGAGGCCCAGGGACAGCCGAGGGCTCGAGAGACAGGCGTGGCAGAGGGACTCTGGAGAGGCCAGGGGTTTCGCTGTGGGCAGCAAGTGTCTCCACGAGAGAAAGTGCCTGATGCTGAAGGACACAGCAGAGGCAGCTGGAGGTGTGTGTGAGGTACCCTCCCTCAGCCAGCTCAGTGTGTTCTAGAGCGGGGGTCTCT